TTTAACAAATTGATTTGATAACGCTACTAAAAACCGTCGGTCGTGTAGCGTCTTCTTGCCTAATCGAGAATCCTTTCTCGATCGTTGGTAAAGGTGGATCTATGCCACCACCAAAGCCTTCACGACTTGATGGTGGCATAACTATCCTTTTTGCAGAGAGAGAACAAGACAATTGATTTCAACTTTTGTACATGACACCAAACGTAAGCCATATCTATCTCTTAATTGATAATAGCAAGCGTCACATGAACACGAACATCACTTTCACTTTTACGCATAAAATCAAATCAAACTAATCTAAGTATATCATAAATTCATTTGCATCTTTTTTAAAAATGTCACAAAAAACACTTATCCGAGTAAGCGCTTACCAAGTCACTTTATTTTATCGGATGAATATAACAAAAACTATAAATCTTATTCGGTAAGAGCGAAGGCAAAAATCGAGAGTCTTACCCGGTGGTAAGTGAGGATGAAGACTTCTTATCATGGTTGGCGCTTACCGGGATAAATTGTTGCATACGATGCGTTTTAGTGAATAAAATCTTACCCGGTAAATAAGCAATAGTACTGAATTTTACCGGTAAGTGCTTGATGGGTGAGTGTTTAGGTAAACGGCCCCTTAGAGAGAGAAAGTAGAGAATATGGTTACAAAAGAAAGGTACACACCTCAATTAGCAGCGTGCATAACCACTTGAGGTTTTCGCCTCTCTAACTAACTCGGTTAAAAAAGGTTTATTATCAGAGTCGTTCATTGACACGTTAAATGTGAGATTTTGAACAGGGCGTCCGAAATTTACCTGTGCTTAGGATGTAAATTATAACCGAAATTGTTTAGGTTCGAATTATTAATTGTTTGGTTTTAGGTTCAAATTATCAATGATTTAAGTTCAGTTTCAAATTGTTAATCATTTAGGTTTAGCTTGTAACATCTCATGTCAACTGTACCGGATATTGTCCGCACACATAGACTCACGGTTTTAAAACGCGTCTGATTGAAGAGATATCAAGTCCCTTACAACGCAACTTTTTCCCCCTTCGCAACCAATGTGGGATCTTACAATCCACCCTCCTTGGGAGCTCAGCATCCTTGTGCCGGCTCTAATATTATATGTAACATCTCAGGTCAACCGTACAAGATATTATCCGTTTTGTCTCACATCTAAACTTACGGTTTTAAAACGCGCCTGATAGAAGATTTATCAAGTCGGCAACCTTTGTTTCCTTCCCCAACCAATGTGGGATCTTACAATAACCCATTTTTGTTCTTAACATATATATTCTCTGTTATCTTAGTTATGCAATATAATCAAAAAGTCTGGATGTAACAGGACCTACAAAAAGATTAGAACGTTATCAGCCAAGACCCTTCCCCATTAGGGTAATATAAAATCAAGGTAGCGAACCTGTTTCAGATAAAGAAACCATCCAGCCTCGTTATCCCCGTCCACACAAAAACCCATCTCTACACGTCAAATTTCCATCTCGACAATCTAAAAGATTTTTCCGTTAAGTTCATAAAAACAAATTGGAACTCGGAAACCAAATATATCCTTACGAATTGTTGCTTACACCCACTCCCAATCGTTGGACCATACCAAAATGATATTTAGTCGGTTAAATCGGTTATATATTCGTTTTCCAACTTCTCAAAAACTACTTAATAATCGAACTGCATAATGTTCAATTTAGTCGGTTTCAAATACAAGACCCGTTGTTTCGGGTACCCGGCAACTGAACTAGCTTAAACAAAAGGAATTATCAAGCGAAGAAACATTCGTCTCATATGGCCACATTGTACATCAAGCCAAAAAAACATCATCTACTCTCAAAGAAAACCGAAGAAATCAAGTTCATTTGTTTCCAGAAAAAATATATGATATAATTTTGTTAACGTATTATTCGGTTTAACCAAAATACTAAAATAATAACTGAATACCAAATCTTCTAGTCCGAAAACCGAATAAACCAAACCTGTTTCGGTTATTTTGACACCCCTGGTGTCTCATCGGTTGCAGGTCCATTTCATGCCCACATAATATTCCTTCACGAACAAAAGGACTTAGGAAACGAACCCAGTATATTCCACTCGAAATCGGTGTTTGGGAAGGGAGAGTTCAGGTGCTCCCGAATTCCTTCTGGATGTCCTGGAAAGATACGGTGGCAGATCCCCGCCGCTTAGCCTTCTGCTGAGACTCGTGTTCCCTCCACCCAGTCATGTATATCACCTGTTCCCAAACATCATATTTCTTTATCACAAAATGCTACAACTCCAACGGCAAAGAAAAATCATAAACAACTTTGAAACACGTTAGAATATGCAGATAATCACGGATTATAGTATTCATCATATGACGAGACGAGAAATCATCAAGGATGTGTGGCACGAGAGTCAAAATGGAGATTGTCCTTGCCACGTTAACAAGTTTAAAACCAAACAAACACAGTATATCCTGCCTGGAAGTATCTGTCTCAAGAGACAGAGAGGTTGTTTATGAGAAATACCTCCAGTTCGCAAAAACAGATTTGGCAATTTAGAAGGCATAGCTCTAAGCTACATGGGTGCAATCATACATGCACTAATGCACCGGATCCTATCAGAACTCTGCAGTTAAGCTTTAAGCCACATGTTTTTGCAGTTTTTTTGACAGAACTAGAAAGAATGCAAAGAGCCGACCAAACCAACCCTAACTCCCTCCCCTTACAACACAGTCCTACAAGCAATCAACCACCCTATCCACCCACTCAAAGAACTCTTATCTGAGATCATGCCCTCTGACAGTCTACAAAGGGTAAATATATTTTGCCCACTTACGTTACCATCAAACTAATCGTTTTTTTTTCTTTTTTTTAGTATATAATATTTATATACGGCAAATGCAACAAATAAACCCACACACCCTCCTCATGTTTGATGAGGTTTGAATCCCTGACCTCCCAGGAGGCCAAAGACTACGATACCGTTATTGCCAAAGACCCTTGGTTTTCTTTCTTCTTTTCATGGAGGAGGGATTATGTTTTTACAACATAAGGAATGATGGTCAATTTGATGGGTGCTATAGTAGATACAATTATAAGCTTTTATGATCAAAGAAGCTGATGCTTTAATCCCCTTTTAATAGCCATGGACAGGCTCAAATAGTGATGTATCAACTTGGGTGAAAATGCCTAAAGCTTGAATCTTTTTTAAATACATATTAGACCTTGGCTATATTCTAAGTTACACAATAACTTCAAACAATATTAAATACAATCGTGTTGCTAGTCATATGTTTCTTTTACCAGTCTAAAATCTAAGGTCGCGTTTGATTTGTAGGATTGAGAGGGATTTGGAGGGATTTGGAATTCAATTCCATTCCAATCCCATGTTTGTTTGAAGGATTGCTTGGATTTGAGATCCCACAAACATGGGATTTAGAAATCCCATGGGGTTGTTGGTATTTCACGGTATTTTGTAGGATTTGTGTAATAATATTTTAAAATATGTTGTTTTATTATAATCAATTAATAAAGAAGCAATTTAATTACTTTTAAACCTATTTATAATTTGTTTTTATAAATTATTTATAAAAAATGGAATTCAATTCCATTCCAAATCCTACAAACCAAACACACCAGCAATTCCAAATCCTTCCAAATCCCTCCAATTCTAAATCCTTCCATGAAATCTAAATCCCTCAAAACCATTTCATCAAACCAAACGCCCCCTAAATGAATTTGTCACTTCCAGTATTGATAAAGAATGCATATATATGCAATCAGTAATGCTCATTGTACCAAAACAAATTCAGGAATGTTATGCATATTTTGACTATTGGAGACGACAGCAGTTTATTCATAGGGTCTAGTAGCTACTATGGATGTGGGCAGGGGGGTGGAGGGGTAGATGGTGGGTTAGAGCTGATAGGTAGGTTAGCAGTACCCTAGGATAGTACTGATAGGGTGTGTGTGTGTATTTCGATTTATATTGATATTAACCGAGTCTCTTGGATAAGTGGTTGTGCCGCTAATAGGGTGTGTGTATTTTGATTCTGTTTGAATTGGGGATTGGAGATGATTCGAAGACCGGATAATCTCGTTGGATCGTGAAAGTTCACTTTCCAAATACAATAATCCGTCCCTTAATGCCTTGGGTATCACGAATTTTGTATTGGGATAATCCAAGAGAAACTCTAATCTTAAAGGCCGTAAGATGGAGTCCTTATATACACCCAGATTCGTTACATATTTATATGAGAGATTGACGGTTACGCGGTTAAAATCAGTTATAACCATTATTGGATAAATTTTGAGGATAGTTACAACTGTCCCAAAGTCAGAAGCAACATTAGAAGAAGTCCCTGATCATACAAACCAGAGATACTCATGACCAGGAGACCAGAGGCTCTGGTTACATGGTCCAGAGCTCTGATTACACAATCTCTGATCCATACTTAATGGCAAATTTCCACCAACTTTGGGAACAATTTCAAGAAGGTTTCCAGCCTTCTGAAATTCGTCCAGACCACCGCCAGGGGCTCTGCCCCTTGGACCCTGCTAGGGGCACGGCCCCTCTTGATCCCCTTGTTATGGTGATCTAAGTTGATAAAGACAACATTTGTGGGTGTGCACTCCGCACCTTATGTTTGCCTCATCACCAAATCGATCTCACGTAAATCACAATCACACTAAATTGGTTGATGACACTAAAATCACCAACAGATTCTTTCAAAATAAAATGCAATTTAATTCAAGGCTTTATTAAGTATCACCTGGAAAGTTGCAGGGATGGTGCCATCTTCTGCTGCAAACATTGACTCATAGACAGCTGCTGCCGCCAGAGCAGTGTCTTTTTTTAAGAACTAAGCCATTCATGCAAAAAATTGAGAAACAAAAATGTGACAACAAGATTGGCTATAAAGTAGGAAAGAAATGGAAGTCCAAAAATTCTTACTTTGATCCTATTTACAAGAGCATTAGTTTCACCCATTGCCCGCAAATGTTCTATTAGCTCCAGGGCTAAACATGAAAGGGATAAAGAAATGGAATGAGATTGAAGTTGGATATGAAATATATGACAATCAGATTCCTTTAGTTCACTTCTAACATCATATTGGCCATTTTAGTAAAACATCTAGACTAGTATACATTGATCAATGTCAACATAAAAACAGGTGGTTCAAACCCATATACAGGAAGGAAATAACATAAACCAATTATTCATGATAAACTTAAAATCACATGTTTTTTTCATCCTGATAGGTTTGAAGACAGAGTACATTTTCTTATTCAGCAAATATTGAAAAGCTTACAGTAGATTAACACAAACTATGGGTTTGGACTAATGATCATTGAGAACATTGAGAAAGTATTTACAAGCATCCTATTCAATCATACCGGAGAATTATAACTTTTTTATATAAGATATATAGGCAAATGCTCAGGCACACGCTTGACCTTTGGTGAGGTTTGAACCCTTGACCTCCCAGGAGGCTGGGCTCTACTTATAACCGCTGGCCAACGACCCTTAGGTTGGACAATTATAACTTTCGTGACTATTCACTCACAAGTAAAAAAAGAAATAATTTGGAGAAAATGCTCACCACTATTATATCTAACCTGGTATTCATCAACATCGACCCCTGGAAGAGTGAAGCCTGCCCTAGTCAACAGATTGCCTGCATCTCGCACCTATGCAAGGGAACAAAACTGTATGCTAAAGTCACAACAATGGCAGGTTTGATTTCGTCTTACTTTGTATGTATATATAGCTATGCTGTGGAAAGTACAGAAAATTTTCATTCAAGCAACTCTACCCTGCTAATTGAATAAATGGACATGAAGAAAATGTTCAATGGAAAAAGAACATCTGCTCTGTTGTCTTTTAGGGTAGTTAAGCGTGGAGGTTATCTGACTGTCTCTAAATGTGTTGCAGTACACACACACACACACACACACACACACATATATATATATATATATATATATTTGCATATCAGGTTCAAGTAAGAACCGTATATTTTGAGAACCTGGGAATTAATAATTTATGATGAATAATAAAAATGCATTGTATTAATATTACATGAAGTAGTTGGTTCTCAGGTTCTTAAAATATTTATGGTTCTCGTTTGAACTTTCCACTGTATGGATAATATGTGTGTGCGAATAATATAGATAAATCATCATATATGTGTGAATAATATAGATAAATCATATGTGCGTGTGAATAACATAGATTAATCAATGGCTATAATGTCCTGGTATCATCTACAATGTTCCACATTAGGGCAATGGGCATTAGGCAATGTGGCAGATAGATATGAAGATATACTTGTGCTAATGGTGATACTCGTGGGCTCACACCACCTTCACGCTCCATGTGTGCTATAGTGCAGGCAATTCTCAGCTCTCTACAAGAACCATATCAGAATTAGACACCACATACCTGAAAGAATTATCACTTTGGAAGAAAAATATAAAACTAACTTTAGTGTTTCTCCACCAAAAATGGCTGCCAAAAACAAGCCATCAGGTTTCAATGCCAATCTACTCTGTCATGCGTATTGGAAACATTAGTTCACCTAGTCACCAGATGAAAATACTCTTCATTTATCTCAAGTAATTTTGAAAATAAGAAGAAACATCCAAATAATGATGCACCCACAAAGATGAAAGAGAGCAGAGAATATAAACAAAATGTAATTAAATTTTAAAGAACCAAAAGGAGGAAATGCTGCAATTCTTGTGGGACAGATGGTACATGATAAACTCATCACATTAGCGAAATTGAGATATGATTCCAGAAAGAATCATTCAAGATAATAAAAGAAAGAAGAATCATAGAAATGATTGAAGCTTCTGGACAGGTAATTGGGAATTTTTCTTAAGTTTTTATGCAAGGCAAATATTGTTCGAATTGCACTAGCACCTAGAGAAGCACAAACCTGTATCATTGCTCCAGGAAGATCATTTGTCCAGTGGAGGCCCAAGCAACTTATTACTAAATCAACAGAACTTAAAAGTAAGTAAAAGCCATAAAACCAAGCCTTATGATGAATCACAATGATTATAAGTTATAACACTTCATATCAACAAAAGCCTATGTTTCCATGAATAGTTAATTAGGCATACCTTCCTTGTATAGGTAAATATTCTTCATCGCCTACCATAAATGAAGTTTCAATGTTATCACTAGCAAAATCCTTTTCAGCATCTTTACACAATTTCACCATGTCATATGATGAATCCATCATAATTAGCTTTTGTATGGCACCTAAAATAGAAGAGAATTAGCTTCCGGATGCATCACATATGCTTTGTGATGTTTAAATGTTTCGGAAGTACAGATCTTTTTCACTAAGAGAACACTAGTTGATGAACATATAGAGAAAAAAATGGATGCAATTCTGATGTATAGACCCCGAACTTCAGTGAAATCATTACTAACCAGAAATCTTGATGAGGCAAATAAGCAGCCTAATTAAATACAGAGATGTTAAGTATTTCAAGTTATGGTGATAGCAAGATATTCTTTCTGGGACTGAAATAGCTGACAAGTGATTAGTATTATATTGAGGGGCCAATTTCGTAATAAACCGAAACAACAAGGAATCCATAATTTACTCTATCAATACTATATCATAAAGCATTTGACAGAAACTCTTAAAAACCATTAATTATCTTTATAAAAATTATATTATTAAACCAAAAATAAAAAAAAAATGAATTAAAGAAATACACAAAAAAAGGAGAAATTTTAAATAGTTAGTTTGGTACTAATATCAGTATTTTTTTTTCAATTTTTTATGATATCTTCATATTTATATTTTATTCAAAAATAAAAACATTATCGTTTTCTCAAAACCACATAAAACCGTATTATAAAATCGACTGAGAAAAAAAAAGAAATAAAACGAAACATTAAAATCAATATGTATCTTGCTACATTGTGCGGGTACCCTTCTAGTAATTCAAAAATTTAGTTTTAAAATAAGTTGAATGCATAACCATTCAAGTGATTAAAAATTAAAATTAATATCAATATAACTTAGAATATAATATAGATAGCAGGTAAAATTATAACACTCCTAACATAAAAATACATAAATCTTAAAATTGAGAGATCAAATGTGTAATTGTGAAAAATAGTGGAAAAAAATGGTGTAAATGAATAGTGTTACACCAAACTTGGTACTATTCATCACACAAAATTTGGTGTAAGAAATGATGTGCCCATTAGAGATATTTGGTGTAAGATGTGACCCCATTGGAGATGGCTCATGGATTATTGCAGATATCAGCCTTCCAGCTCACTTTCAATGTTCTGAAACCCTAATTATAAAAAAACTAGTGGGAAGAAAACAGCACCAGCATTATTATGTAAATTAATGCAACTCATTCAAATGGATGGAGATGAATACAGGTTGCGTGAAGATGCATCCTTAGTTTAAAGCTACTTATTGTTATCTTTCAGATCATACAAAATACATACAAGAATGCATCCAGAAGCAACAAACATGGTTGAAGTCTCACCACGCCCACATACGGAACGCCTAATTGCTTCCAAGGAACCTCCCAAGCATAATGTAGTAGGAAATGTCTTTTTGACATCCTACAAAACCAAATTGAAGGTGAACCTGAATATTCCATGTCAAATAAATTCAGGACTTCTGAATAGAAAAGTATATAGCATTCAAGATATTCTGTTGCTCCCCTTGTCTGCACAGTGGAAAATTTATCATAAAATTGTTATCATCATACTTGCTTAGTGTTGCAATAAGACTGCAACTTATATGTCAAATATGACCATAGATACAGATGAATGACAACCTACTATTACAAACAAAGAACATGCAGCATATAGAAATTTCAAGTAATAATAATAAATTACATGGGACATTCATATATTCTTTGCCTTCTCAGATACGTCTTTGTTGACTTGGCAAAATCAGTAAGGAGGGCACCAACTAAAGTACACACACCCACATATGCATATACACATAGCATATGTATATGTATAGATATGGATATATATATTTTGCATATATATATGTGTGTGTGTGAGTGTGAGTGTGTGTATATGTATATGTGTGTGTGTGTGTATAAATACAAGTATGTGTGTATGCATATACGTGCGTGTTCATATATATACATACACAAGTCTTGCCCTTATATCAAGATCAAGGGAGAGTATCTACATTGTTTGTAACGGTTTATCAATCTGTCCTACAAATTTGGGCATATATTTGAAAATTTCATGTTGGATTCTTTTTCAACAGCTCTTCAACTAGTTCTATCAGACAGAGATGTTACAGCTTATTTTATAAATAAAAGATAAAGTGGTTTGCTGAGCATGATGAAGAGACGAGGATTGGAGGGAATGCATAATCATCATGCATTTTATCAAACAATACAACTTGTAAGTTGTTAGAGAATGGAGGGACTGCGTATATAGGAATTGGAGAACCCACACATGTTATCTGTAATTCTGTATTATGATGACCAGATATTGCAAGTGAGAGGGAGTGTTGAAGCATGATATAATTGTTGTCCGTCATACCAACTTAAGCTTGTCGACAAATATATCAAACAGAAAAAGAGGACATGCATCCCCATTAAGTCTTTAAGGGTGGTAGTTATCATTGGATAGTTGCAAGCCTTAAAAAGGATTTCTTTTTGTTGTATCTTGTTGGGTCACCGATGGATCTAGTGATGACCCTCCGATCTTCTCTCTAATTTAGCCGACAAACACTTAAAATGTTCTTAGGTTCTTTGTTTGTAAAATTTAGCCGACTTCTAGAAGAATTACATTCAGATCGATGGTAACCCAAAAAGAATGAAGAATGGGTCACTGACAAAGGCATTCTCTAAGCACCTGACAAAGCATGTTTGCCCTTGTATGCTCGTCTTGCAGGCTTGCAGCTCTCAGAACTGTTCCAGATATGTTCAGCTACAACTCCTTTTTTGTATACGATGAAAGTGACTCTTCAAAGTCGTCAAGTCAATGTCGAGCATCTTAAGTGACAAGTGTCCCATGCATTTAATGCATGGGGTGGTATGTAAGAGTATGACAGAGTGCTCCCTCCGATGCAAGGTTACGCTTTCAAATAGTTCTCTACGTGCACAAGGTTCAAAATCGGCTACTCCCTCAAGCAAAAAGAAAATCTCAATGTCCTTCATTTTCTGTTTTTTAATCTTTGTGAAAGGATTGTTTAGGCTTAGTTCATCTACCTTATTCCGCAACAATTTTTCTATTCTAAGTGTAATTCTTGATATTGTTATTAAATAAAAATTAAATTAAGTAAAAATTGAGTAATTGTATTCAACCCCCTCCTACAATTACTTGTTCGGTTCTTCCAGCACATTTGGAACCAACATATCTAAACAAGGGAAACACATATGTATGCTGTTATTTTTCTGATTCAGTGATGGTCTTTTCCTCTCTGTCTTGCATTTCGTACTAGCCCCTTCTATCATGAATTTCCTCATGTTGTCTTTTTGTTGTTATTTTGTACTTCATAATTTACCGCCCATTTATTAAAAAAATATGCTGCAAATAAACTATTGGTCTTCAGCTATGTTGACTAGAGAGCTCATTTACACGAATATAGCACCACTTCTGGTTCTGGCAGAGCTAAATCAACAAACTCAAAAGAGACAACTTCTGTGCATAAAGCTCTCTTCTTCTGTTGGATGTGAATGGGAGAAGGGCCAGAAAAAAAACCCAAAATTTGGAGCAGTCCCGCTTGTTTGTAGACAACTTCCATGTGGTAATGGTGATTGCGGGAAGTAGTAAAAAGAAATGAAATAATCACTGATCAGAACCTCTTTACTCATGGAGGAAGTGACATATCATATATAAATGAATGCACAAGCCCAAGTAATCACAAATCAAAATTTATTTACAAAGATCGAAGAAGAGGGGCATGTAATATTATGTAAGTCTTCAAACCTCCAGGCGATCCAAAAGGTTATCAGCCACGGTGTTGACCAAAGAATCTTCCCGATTTATCAACCATGCAGCCCTATCACGCTGTCATGAAGTGAGAATAACTTTACAGCCCAGAATAAAAACCCAAGCCAACCAAAATGAATTAAACAATGCATCTTTACGGAATCTCAAAGGCAACTGTCTATGAGATGAACATAGCTATGAGATCAGAAAGAACGAGTTGAAAGTGTACAGGATATCACACAATTTCAAATCAAATAATTAAGACACAAATAAAAACACTGCAAAAAGAAAGAATCCAAGTATCAATCCAGAAATATTTAATCTCAAATTGGTTCGGTAAAAACAGGAAATGCATACACCATTTTGATCTTGATTGTAGTAAATTTTCCAAATAAATCAAAACCCCAGACCATTTCTTATCGATAAAATTTAGAGATGCAAATCATTATAATGCATTGTGCAAGTAACTTTCGTTGTTTGGGCATAACTTTAGTTGACACCATTTGATGTATTTTTGGTTGGAAGAAAGTGCTATAAACTTCGAATTTTGCAAATTCAAACAGTCTAAAAGTTGTTGGTAATTCAATATCTTCTAATATTGAAGTTGAAGTTGGCAAATAAAACAAGGAAAATTTCATATCCAATCTAAGAAAGAAAAAAGCATAAGTTGGGCAGGAAGTCCACTAAAAGGCAAGAGAAAAACCCAAAATAGTTGTCAGTCTTTCAAATTGTTACTTATCAACACCACAAATTTGTCTCAAGAAATAATGCTAATTACCTGTATATTAATAACCACTACTAACAAAACGTAGTTGGTGTTAACTGTGCAACAAAACCTACATTTATGAAATAAGCACAATACAGAACACCATATATGACGATATGAATATGAATTCGCTTTCATAAAGAAAACGAAACGAAATTAACGAAAGATATTATATGACTACAACAAACAATTGTGAATAGATTCGAACTTAACTTGTTTGCGTTTGAGGTGGCGATCGAAGATTTGGACTTTAGAGCTCTGAAGGTTACCATCGATATTGTCTGCTGTACAAAAAGATCTTCGTCTGATAAAACTACGTAGTAGGTTTCCATTGAGTCTACTCATTTCTTCTGATTATGGAATTGGTGCAGTTAAAGCCGAGGGACGGGAGAGACCATAGACAATACGCACGTCACCTGCACCGCTGCCGGAGGTCTGACCAGGGGTTGTTCAGTCATACATGTAACACTTAAGAAATGGAATCAATTTTTTTTTATGTTTTTAACACTTAAATTTGAATCTTAACACAGCAAGATACATCTTTATTTTATTATTTTATTTTGTTTTTTATTATTAATATAATACGGTTTATGTAGTTTTAAGTAAGATATTGTTTTTATTTTTGAATAAAAATAAATTTAAAAAAATATATCGATATTAATATAAAATTAACTATTTAAAAATTCTATTTTTTATATAATTTCTTTAATTCAACTTTTTATTATAATTTAATTTAGGTCTAATGTTTTTTTTTAGCCGACTCAAGTCCAACCCATTTGGACTCCTTAGAGGTTCTAACCAAGGAGCACGCAGATCCCAAAAACGCATAGTTTACCTAAACCTGTAGGCCCTTGAGCGGATCTCACGTTAGCTCCAAGACGTTGGTCTCTAACTAGAAAAGTAAATGCTTGAGCTTGAGAAGCTTCTGGTCCAGTGGRTCCGTAAAACTCACTAGGATAAGCGGTATTGTTGAACCAGACAAAACAACAAGCAATGAAACCAAAGACAGATATAGCCGCTAAACTATAAGATAAGTAAGCCTCTCCAGACCATACAAGTGCGCGTCGAGCCCATGCGAAGGGTTTGGTTAAGATATGCCAAATTCCACCAAGTATACAAATGGAACCTAACCATACATGGCCGCCGATTATATCTTCCAAATCGTCTACACTAACAATCCATCTTTCCCCCCCAAAGGGCGAAGGTTTGGAATGTTTGGAATCCATATTATGAATGTTTGGAATCCATATTATGCAAGGAGACATTGCTTTTGCTAATTCGAATTGAAGGGTGATATAAAGTTGGTCTTCCTCTTCAGGCAGCATATCCATAGTTAGCACATTCATGCTAATTAGCAGTTCCAGCTCCATATCAAGGATATCGTCACTAACATCAATATCGTCACTAGCACCAATATYGTAACTAGCACCAATATTGTCAATCTCATCAATATCGATATCATCAAAACCTTTAGACTTGTTATCCAGGACCTTGTTCAGAAGTACGTAATGAAAGGAAAATAGGAGTTTTTTGCTAGGTATTTGACCAAATAAGATCGTCCAGTTCCTATAGAACCTATCACTAAAATACCCCTAGAGAGGGATAAGGCTAAGCGGAGCGAAAAGGGWTTTCCATGAGATGGGAAATGAAAACTATTAGCCCCACACGAAGTTTGTGAATAAGTGATTGTCTGATAATGAGCAAGGAATATCCGTCTTTCTGCTAAAGAGGATGTATTGAACTCATAATTCATTAGATACTTTTTATGAATGTCAACTAAGTATYGTAAGTAAATTGCTCCCGGTTGTTCAATCATTTGATAACCAGAGTCATTCTTTGATAAATGATCACTATAAGTCAGACTCAATAAAATTTGATCAATCCCTTTTTCTGTCGTTAAGGTGGAGAACTAAACGAAGAATTCTCTTCTTTCATCATCAATCGAATAACTGTTTGCAACCCAGGATTCTATTTTATCATCAATCCAGTCCTCGTTCACGTTTTTTTTTTCTTATCACTGAATAGATCTCTTTACTTGTATGACTTAGATGTCTCGTATTTCTCTAAAAAGTGATTCGATTGATGGGATTTGGTATGATACTTATGAGATCGATGAGATTGATATTCAAATATTTCTTCTTAGAGCGTATTGATTTGACCCCATAAGCGGGACCACCACCCAATAGCCCCAATAGCAGAGAATCTCCTAATTGTTTCAGAACAACTAGAAAGATATTCTTTAACCAGAAAGAATTCGGTTCAGATGTAGGATACTTATCCAGAAGTTTTCGCAACTCAATCATAGATGATGGAATGATCAAAGATTTGACCTTTTCGAACTCTGTCTGTAACTCACTAGAGTCCCCGAAAACAAAGAGAAGACGTGTACAAACGAGATATGCAGCAACAAGAAGGAAAAGGATTGCATAGAGGAACTCCCGAACATTTGTCAGATGTGTCGATATCAATGGTGACTCATTATTTCGATGAATCATTTCTTCGGACAGAAGAAGATTATGGAAACACTTACTCGAAATTTCACTTATCAGATTCCATTGTGGAAGATAGAATTTTTTCTGAAGAATTCGTCATGATCCATGCATAATATCATGAAAAATGGATACAAAAAATTGACTGCTACTTAGTATCGGCAATAGGTCTGAAAAAATATCTAAAAATAAAAACTTTAGATATTTGTACCCTGTCGAAGTAAAGAACCATGACATGTATGTTTGGAATAGATTCCATTTTGAGAGAGTTGAATAAGCACTATCTCGTTGAAAAGTTCTATACATCTGCCCTTTCTCAACGCATGTCTTTAGACAAAGACTTCGTTTTTTCCTCTTTTCGGATGGTAAATATTTCTCAGAACATGGAGTGTGAATCAAACCCATGTTTGAATTGAAATTGAGATACTGATACAAGTTCTTCCCTTCTGAATCAGATAGATTCATATCTGAAAGAGGTTGACAATAAGTTCTTTCAAAATTGACTATTTGTCCCTCTGTTAGAGGTGTTCCAGAAATGTCTGCGATCGAGTAAATAGCTCTACGAACGAATGGACTGGATCGACTTGGAAAATGGAAAGATTTGTACAAGTTATACGTTTCGTCACCACTYTGTGGAAAAGCCTTAGGTATGAATATGTTAGATACMTGTGACTCGATTGCTGAAATAGTATCTCTCCCCCAAAAAGCATGTTTTTTTTACCGACGCACAAAGAAAATATTTTGTTGCGAATGAACAAGATATTGAGGAATTGTTTATACGTAAAATCATAATTATTGATACAGGCATTTTCCACATAAAAGGGGAATCTTTTGTTACAATAGAAGCAGAAGTGATGTGGATTATTCAAGAATCGAAGTTTATTTGCTTTATAAAAAAGAAGATCTCAATGAACTTCTATGAAATGATTTCACGGGATTCAGCCAATTGTATTGATCGTGGAATATCATTAAGAAATAAGAATCCGTGTTATCAAAGGATTTCCTGCGATTATTTCTAGTATGGAATGAGTCAATCATCCACTTCGAAGTAATTTATTTTCGACTTAACAACATAAATTTTATAAAGATAATAATTTTGTTAGAACTCAATGATTATCCTAATTATATTTTAGATTTTTTATTTAAAATGAAATGTTTATCTTATATTTAATTATGTTTATCCTGTATTTAATTACGTTTATCTGCAGTTAGTTATACGAATTCAAAAATGGAGTTTTAATAAGTTGTACCTACGCACAATTTACGTGTAATCTTAAATTTTAAGTAATATGCATTGATAAACACTACTTCATGCATAAAGAATGGTTTTTAAGATTTTTCTCCAATATTTTATAATATAATATAGATTTTTAAATTAGCGAGCTTGCTCGGTCATACATGTAACTCAAGATTCATGGAAAAAAATTGAATGCAATTATGCATCTTAAACTATTTTACGTCTTTCATCACGTAATAACAGGTACAAATACTGAATTTCGATCCAGATAGAGAATTCATAAAATTTCTTCAAAAGTTCAATATTTAAAAGTCAATTTCATATGACAAATTTGTGGAATTTGTTTGCGGTGTGAGCTATCAACTAAATAAATCGATAACGAAGAATCAAACGATGTAAAAGTTTGTTAAAACAAAAACAAATGATTGATAGAAAGATATTATAACACCACTAGACAGTTTCACAGTACCACAAACAGCCTCCTAAAAACTCACTACTATCGATACAACATCATTTATGATAAACATCGTAAATTTTAATACAACACAGCACTACCTTTCTATTTTATATCGGTGAAGGCTCTATCTCAGGGTCAACTTGGCATGAGAACAAAACCCATCCCTTAAACCTATGAGCGGAGATTGGGATCGAAGATGGGGATTGAGGTGCCCGCTCCATCCCGACCCCCATTCCCCATGCATAGATGCGAGAGAGGCAGGTATGCAGTTCGATTTTGTGTTGAAGACACTTCTCGAGCCGATCGCATGGCAGGCACAATTCTATGAAAAGATATTGTTTAAATCAAAGTACATAATTACTAATCTTTTAAAAAAATAAAATCAAATTTAGACACCATTAACATAGCACAACAGAAACCCTAATAACAAAAACCCTTATAAGTTACAATAACTGCTTAATAAATCTAATATGTCCCAAAATTGTCTGAATATTTCAAAAAGAATAAATAAAACACCACCACATTTATCTCCGTTTCAGACCGTTGGTCGATATACACGTTCCACAAATCGTTGCTTGGAATTTGTTCATACATGTTCAACACGGCCTGAAAGAATAAAACATTTACAAAACGTAAAACTAAAAACCAACATTCCAATAATCAAAGATATACGAGTCCAGTCAGCTTTAGCCTAGCAGTAAGGATTACAGTATTTACCTCCCCCATGATGACCATGAGATCTGTATGATGATCATATGGGAACCACTTTTAAAAGATGTATGGTATTACATTGGTATAGGGGATATTTGAAAAATGATTAGGATCTCACTGGTGTGGATGGTTTTATACTTTTATCTTCCCCTCATACAAATCGATATATGCTGCATATGGTAATTGAGTTCATGAATTACGACATTTTAGACATCAAACTAAGATCATTTCTTCAACATATGGCGGTTTATCTTCTATTCTTCCCACAAAACAAGTTGAGAGGGATAACTATAACCGCTTAATATGACTAAAACGAAAATTTTGGTTTCACCCAAAATCTGTCACAATAGTTATAATTTCATTTGGATGGTAAAGCTGAAGAGATAAAAAGGGTACCAGAAAACGAAAAGCGGTAATTACGCATGTACATACCTCTTGAGCTTCCACCGTCTCCTTATCAGCAACACATCCGATTAGTTTTCCTTGTTTGTTTCGTGAAACTGTCTTCCAGCTTCAACTGCTTCCCTGTGAGATGTCAAGAAAATGGCAACATGAGAAACGGTACACAAAACATGGTTTTATTCCCACCCACCACAAACAGAATAAGCACAACCCTAAGGTGCTGTTTGGTTCGCAGGGTTCAAAGGAATTGGAATAATAAATTCCTTTGTTGGTTCACATATTGAAATCGATGTAATCCTTTCCTTCAAATTCCACAAATTAATGAATTTGCCATTCCTTGGCATAAGTGAAGGAATTGAATACCATCCCTTTGCATCCAAGTTGACTAACGCCGCCCACCCCTTGCCCCCACCACGACCAGGCTACTATTGTCACGCCCCCCCACCACCACCACATCTCGCCTTCATGACCGCCACCCTACCCCAACCCCCACTGACCACCATGTCATCGTCACATCCACCCCCATCCGACCACCATGCCACAACTGTCGTCATCACAGCTGCCACCCCCACCCTCCCCCCAAACAAATATGGGGATTCCAATTCTTTCGAGAGATTCCATTCCAATTCCTACCTTGGTCAAATTCCATTCCAATTCCTTTAAAGTCAAATTCCTTTGATAGATTCCAATTCCACCAAATTCCATTTTGCGAACCAAATGCACCCTGTGAAGCTGTCATTCTTTTTCTGGTACTGAAGTAATCTTAAAAATACTTCAAAAGATGTCACAAAGAGGTCAGAGACAAAATAATAAGTGATCTTACTGACAGAAGCAACCAGATTTACGATTTGCATTTATGATTAATATCCAAACTGTTACGTTATGTTGCTAATTAATTAAATCCTTCCCTGTCTTTTAGATTACATAAGGTATTTTTTAAGTAAATTTGATGTCAGGGTCAATAGCAGTGTAACCATAGTTGACCAAGTAACATATTTGAGTGCTGACTTTTACGTGTCAATGAGTGTGGTCTAGGTGTAGAGAATTGCCTGAAAGCATGTACAAGCTCCATATTTTCCGGGTCAAGCTTAACTCCCTCATAAAATGCATTTGCTGCTTCATCAAATCTCTGCAACAGAGATAGAGAATGATTTAATCTTGAGTTTTAGTTTGAAATGAAAGAAAGTTACGAAGCTTAAATGAACATGCCTGCATCAAACGCAATGCTGAACCCTCTCGATACCAAGCTTTTGCCCAGGTCGGTCTCAATCCCCTACATGATTGTGCATCTGTTAGCGCCTGATCAGCTTGCCCAAGACGTATCCAACAGAGACTCCGATTAGAAAACAAAGTAGCATCACTGGGGTCAAAATCAATTGCCTGATTCATGACCAGCATGAAATAATTAGAGTTCATCATAAGATAAAGAAGGATAAGACTTATTTGCTAGAAGCTGTACACCAAGGTTGGGAAAATGTTATTTTCCCCTTCCACTCATCAGAGAAAACAGAACCATTTCGTTTTTTCTTTAACATTAAAGCAGGCAACTATCAAGTTCATATTGCAAGCAGGTCACCACATTATAAGTGATCAATAACTTAAGCATGGTCAACTGTCATATGTTCCTTCTATCTAATACAGCATAAGTAGGTGCTTCCTTCCTTTGATCATGATCAGCAATTAGCATTAAAAGCGCAAACAATGAACAGAGTGCACACCTGAGTATAAGCATCTACAGCCATCAAATAATCCTTCCGCCTGAAAGCATCATCTGCTCTTGATTTGGCTTCAGCAGCTTTTTTCTTTGCCTCCGGAGTCACCTAAAAACAGGGCAAAAACTTTGATGTCATAATGTCAAAGTGAAAACAAACTTCTGAAATTTACAAGCTTAGATTCAGATTAAAGATATGGCCATGATAATTTATTTCCCAAATAGGCCTTAACTTTCAGATGAAACCTAAAAATCTGGATGACACAACATTCATACAGGAACACTTGCAAGCACAATCAACCCACTTGAATGCCTTTACAGACATCTAAAATTCCTTTATACCACAATCAGATAAAAAGGCAGGAAGTAGACAACTTAATTAAGGAGTGTGGTAGAAGCTGAGGGGCTGTTTTGGAGGGTTTATTCATGCAGCCTTATTGAATAAGATGTGGCTTCAAGCCAAGAAAGGGAATGGTTATGGATCCAGCAGTCAATTGCCATCCCTCCCTTGAAAAAAAGGTGCTGCTCTCTTCCACCTTGTCATGGCAATATCTGCTGCTTCCTAGACACCTTCCATAGAAGGTAACGCCTAAATTATTTCTCTATTTTGATTTGTTCATGATTCTTACAACTTCAAGTATGAATGCTATAAAAGTTGTGGTTCTTGACTGTTCATTTGAGTATTTTCACTTCAATTGAGAACTAGGTTCAGATTAGCTTTTATAATTCACTTCAATTCCAGTTGTGTATGACTTCATTGCATCCAATATAGTTAGATCATCAATGCACATCAACAACGGCTACAGAAACAAATGTCGATCCATAAACAAAAGATACCCTACAACCAACTTCCATATCTCCCTCATTCCTATTATGAAAATACTTAGAAAAGACGGGAATTATCTTGTTAAATTACATCACTCATCACCAGCCAGTTCCCAAGTTCCAATAGAGAAAACCATATTAGATTCCCAATAGATTAGAAACAGCAAACACCATCATTGCTCAAGCAAAATCCTTTTGTAAGACACAAAAAGAAAATCTAAATCACAATTGACCAAGTATGGAAACTAATGGTTTAGAAAATTATTATAAAAATAAAACAGATACTTTTCACACACCACTCAAATACGATACAAGAAGTCCCAGTTTGAAGCACTAAAGTCACCAAAGTGTTAAAGAATCTTTTGCCTTGAAGAGAAAGAAAAGCCATACCTCAGGTGTCTCCTTGGTTGAAACAGTAGCATCACTTGGCAAGTTGACACCCCCTGTATTTCTTTCAGCTTCCTGGAAAGTTGACATACAAATACTATTAATGTAACACCAGAGAAAACACGCACATAGAGAGAGAGGACAAGAACACATACGATGGACAAGCGAAATGAGGATGCAACATCACTTAACCATTGCACATGTTTCCATCCATACACTCATCAAAATACAGGTGCCATAATATTCCAAATATCATACACGTGGTTGTATTTTTTTTGGTTTATTACGATTATAAGTGAACATTGTATTAAATATGCTAACCATAAAATGGTAAGGGAATATTTTCCAAGTTTTACAACCATGGAAGATGATATTCTTGATATACTTACAAGTGAAACCATAAATGGTGCTAATTAAAGATATACAATAAATACATAATGTAGATTTACTATGTTATGCTAGGATTTCAATATTTTTAACAGTTAGCCCAGTTTGTACAACCTTCATCATAATATCCCAGGATGTACAACCTTCATTTGACCAAAGCACAATGTTCTAAAGAAGTGTTGGCTGGAATTAGGACATTGATCGAGCTCCTGGCACTTAATCATTTCAGCAAGGATTAAGCAGACATATTAACTGATCCACTTTAGATGTATAAACACAATGGCACAAAAACAAACATGTACTTTTGGTCCTATAATTGACAAGTATTTTTTATACGATAATGCACATTACTTGTAAGAAATTGAACATAAATCAAAACCTCCTAGGTTTATTTTGTTCATCACAATATTTTAAATGAACACTCATGCAGAAAAAAGGGGAAGCGATAAATCATTAACTAATAATTAAAATCTATTGAGTTACGGCCAGGAGAGTATAAGTAGCCATGCAGATGATCAACTAGTTACTCAAAGCAATGATGTGCATGGGAATATTCCAGAAACAACGCAACGAACCTTCTCCAAGCAGTTAAACCTTTAAAACGCTCTCCCAAGAGACACCAACGGGCCTCATCAACAGAACCGTTTAGCGCCCAGAGACAGACCAACAGGTTTTGTCAAGAAGAGCATGCTAAAATCATTACCTACCAAAAAAAACATCCATGCTTTGAATCTCTGAACTAAAAACTTTACGGTTGAGGTCCCACACGCTCCTATCTAAGCTAGAGTTTTGTTTGTATTCAACTCTATCGATAAGCCCAAGTGGGAGTTTCCCTCACTTTGGGAGTCTCAAAACCACATCACACATATACCGCATGCCAAGTATGATATCCCATCCTAGATATACCACACACACACCTCTACTAACTTGGCAGTCGAAGTGTTTTCCCCAAAGAACAGCCCCCAAGAATTGTAATCTTTGGAAGAGATATAGGGGTTAAATCTGGGTGATGTTAGTGATACAAACATTCAAGATGCTCAGTCATTAGGACATCCATATTATCTACTCTCAAGAAATCAAAACAAGAGTTCTTATCGGTGTTAGGGGCCGTTTACCCAAACGCTTACCCAGTATGCACTTACCGGCAAGAATCAACTCTCACTTATCTAACCGGGTGAGATTCTAGTCCATCAAAACGACAACGTATGCAACAATTTACCTAGTAAGCGCTAACCGGGTAAGAGTTCATCACCCTCATTACCGGGTAAGACTCTCGTTCATTGCCATGGGTCTTACAAGATAAGATTATCGGTCCTTGCCATATTCATCCGATAAGTGACTCGGTAAGCGTACCAAGTAAACGTTTCGTAAACGGCCCCTTTAGCTTGCATTTATAAGCCGTGCAGCATGTGATTCACGCTGTCCTAGGATTTCTTATTGTGTCAATCATCTATAAGTTAGTTCATCATGATGTATTGGCACTTGTCCTATGTCCTTAGTTAAAATACTTCATTACTTTTGTTGATGATTATTCATGCATTGCATGGGTTTATTTATTATAATCTAAAAAGACCTCAATGTAACTATACATCTTCATTGGAAAAATAACCATATTGCTCTAAGCACACATAAGAAATAATTTGCTCGATAACGAGTAGAATTACAACTACATATAATTTTTGAAGTTGAATGCTACCACATATAGAATTACAACCACTCTAAATATAATCTGATAGATGCCCAAAGCAGAACCAGATTCGAGTAAGTACCTGTTCCTTGGCAACTTCAGATTGCATATATTCAATGATGCCATCTACACTCCAATCTGAAACGCTTTCCACAGGAGATGACAAAGGAAAAAGAATCTCAACAGCACCCCGGTTACCTCTTGCAGCTGCAACTTGTATTGGCTTTAGGCCATCCTAAAATAGCAAGTAATTGAAGGGAGTTACTAGACACCTTTCAGTGAATAAATATTTTGAAAGAAAAAAGAAAACCAACTGACCAGTGTCTGATCCTACATATGTATATAACATGATCTGGATAAGATCTTGAGTTTTGAATATACAATGGAAGTCTCAATATCTAATCTCTTAGACCACAAATATCATGATAAACCTGGTTGACACTTGTCAACAATGACACTGATGCAATGTAATATAATTAATAAACAATGTTAAATAGGAAGATACGTAAAACATTTTTTGATTGACCATCCATAGAAGGCACGGCTAGAGGGTCACTGTAACAAATCCTGAAAACACTTTTGATGAGCAGAACTTGCACATATACAAGGCCAAAAAATATGATGTAAACCAATTAATCAATTATGGAAAAACTAGCCTAGGGAATGGTAAAAATGGCATCACTTGGTTATTTAAGTTATGACTGTTAGAAGTATATAAATAAACAGACATCACAAGGTAATTTTTTTAAAAGTCGTTGAGAATGTTCAAATGACATGATTCGGTTAAACAGCATGTCTAATAAAATATGACACCTCGGAAGTTCCTAAGTTCTATTTAAGTCACTTAAGTTCTAAACTATTGAAGTCAGGACATATAAATATAGAAAAATGCTGTTTCAGAAAAGAGAAAAGCCTCACCTCATCGGCGACATTGGGATTTGCCCCAGCTTTTACTAAGCATGTGATCAATTCTAAGTTACCACTATCAGCAGCAATGTGCAATGGGGTTGCTCCACCAGCAATAACATTTATTTTAGCACCTGCCTGTTGTCCAAGAGAAAAAAGTAAGACGACCAATGCATTTTTTTAATAGACATGCAGATAGATTAAAAAGAAATAAACATGTCAGGTCCAACTCATGAGTGTAACTAAAGATACGCAAAAAAAGAGCCTGACAGGGCCCATAACGATCCGGGTCCTAGGCCAAATTCATGTAACAGTTCGTGTTCTAGGACGAATTCATGTAACCGGCTTGTACAAGGCTTCAGGCCTGCCCCTAAGTGGTTCTCAAAACAAAATCCATAACTGATCCGAAACGGTGATCCTAACCAGTCTTCAACCGGTCCTTACAGAGCCCAAACCTGGTTGGGCACGGGGTTTAACTTTCACTTTTTTTGTCTATATATAGGGGCATATAAATATATAATCATTTGTAAGTAAATATGTATATGTATGCATGCATCATGTATGTATATACATGTGTGTATATATATATATATATATATATATGCATGTATGTATCATATACATGTGTATGTACACTTACATGTATAAACATGTATCTAACAAAATTTATTGTTAATTACTAAAGTATATAAATATTAATTACTATTTTCTGAATATCCCAAAACACTTGTTGATCTCTTAACTTCTCCGCAAGCAACAAAGAGAAAGCAGAGACAAAAGATAAAACTAGATAGCACTGCTAATGAGAAAACTACAACTACAATAGCTGGTACTATGAAGCAACAACAATTGCTGGAAGTTTAACAGATGAAGATAAAAACATTTTACGGTAAAAGTTTATACATATGAGGCACATTGCATTTTTAAGATATTAATACAAGTCATGATTCCTCCATTATTCTTACGAAGAAACATTCCTCTAACTAGGGTGAGTAATACATACATGCATGCACACACATGTACTCTAATAACAAACTAGTACATTAATCAATTCCTTGCACTGATGTCATGTTCCAACACACGCTAACCTAAACAAACATCAACCACAAGGGTGGTGCCCGATTGGTTTGAGCTTGGGCTCCAAAGGTCAAAAGCGCCTGCCAGGTTCGAATCCAAGAAAAATAAAAATCCCCTTGTGGCCACGGAGGTTCAAATGCGGTGACTCCAGGCTACCCGCAAGCGGGTGGTCCACCTGGGATTAGTCGGCTCACATAGCAGGTTGGATATCCAGATTAATCAAAAAAAAGAACAAACATCATGAACTTCTAAGTGAGCCTATACTTGATGATTGGTTTCTCCACGTCATGCTAGTCCTCTTTCTCTTTGTCACACAACATTACTGATAAATGTGCAAAAACATACACTTTTTTTTATTAACCTGGATATCCAACCCGCTATGCGAGCCGACTAATCCCAGGGCGACCACCTGCTTTGCAGATAGCCCGGAGTCACCGCATTTGAACCTCCGTGGCCACAAGGGGATTTTTATTCCTCCTTGGATTTGAACCTGGGACCTCCTGGTACTTTTGGCCTTTGGAGCGAAGCTAAAACCAATCAACCACCACCCTTGTGGTTAAAAAAAACATACACTTTAGAACCCAATTATGTCTTTCACTTCATTTTACACCCTTCCCAATCCTATATTGAGTATTTTAGTCTTATTTTATGATTATACATTTAGTGGAGCTAGGATGCAAGAATAGTAATGTCTTATAAGTTTGGTGAGTAAAATGCTGACATAAGCATTGTTGTAGCAGTTGCATACGTTGCTACAACACTGGACACTGGATATTGGCACAACAAGACTCAATCTCGTTGAATAAGGTGAAGAGTCAAAGTTTTGAAGAAGGCATCTCCTAGTA